AAATATCCAAATCGTGTAGGTCTGTTTCATGCTAAGCTGCTAGCTGCAAGGAAAGACCATTTTTCAAATTCGGTGACGTCTGGGCAGCATTAATGGCCCATGGTATTTTAGTCCAAAATGTCAGAACTAATGATAACGTCTGCTTATTATAATGATTTGTCAGAGTAAATAGTTTTGGTCTAGTTGTTTATTTAACATGATATGATCTGGAGCCCGCTAGGAATTTTTGTTCTCATAACTCAATCAGAAGTTACACAAATTACCCTTGCCTGTAATCGCCTATATCGCCTATTTACCTGTTAGCCTGTCAGATTTATTAGACATGACATTTAGATTTACGTCAAACTACGTCAGTCTTATGAGAAAGGTGAACGATTGGTTTTCGAACACTTTATCAGGAATTTTCACATTTCAATTAATGTATCATTCAATGACAAGTCATCCCCAGCAGGTATTTAGGCAATTTTCTAACCATTCTGCCGAAAGAAACTGATATTAATGAGCATCAATCATTGAAAGGAAGGTTTTCTGAGTAAAACAGGATTGACTTGTTTTTGGTTAAAATATTTAAAAATCAAATTGAGCCTTATAAGATAGATCAGAAATTCAGAATGAACTTATTCTTGTAATTCAGATAACAGAAAGTACCTAATAGATAATCTGACATCTATAATTGAGCTCTGGCAGCTTTATGGTATACATTTTGAGCTCTTTGTGATTAAGATAAGTCAGAATTCAGAAGCGCTATTGACTGAAGAAAAAGTTACGCACGTCCATGGATATTTTAACCAAAAAAAAAAAAATTGAAATCTGCATTTAAATAGAATTTTGGTCCTCTGTTAGTCTAACCAACCTAAAAATTGAGAATAGTTCCCAAAATGAAATAGAAGGTAGACACAAGAGGTAATATTTGAATCATAAAGATATTTTTCTTCAAAAGTAAATTGATCAATAACATTATTAAAGCGCTTTATTGTAGAAATAGGAACGTACTCTGTTCGTACCAATTACCGTATATTAATAATGATAACATTCTGTATTGAAGAATTATTTTACAAAGCAATATGTATTTGATTAATAAGTACTCGATTACATCAGACAACTAAGAAGTGAATCTGATAGTGGACACATTTTTATAAAGAAAGAATAAAAAGTACTGTGGTATATTAACGTTGGTCAGAATTGGATGGCAGCGAGATGAGAGAAGGAGGTAGGTGGCGTGTTGTATTTTATATTTTACTGATGTACGCTTCACATATATACATGTATAGATAACATTAAGTGGATGACTCGAGTACTTTTATCGGCATGTATAGAACTGCTTACTGTTTTTTTTTACCATACTTTCATTATTAAGATGCCATTGATGCTCTTTCCAAGGGAAGTCTTGAATATCTAGTAGCAGGCCCATAGCCAGACTTGATTGTTCGGGAGTATTTACTTTTAGTAATGGAATTGATCGGTTGTCAGAATTTTTTTAAGAGGGCAATTTATTTTGGTGGGGGTGGGGCACCCCTTGCCTCCAGTTGCCCCTTTGTAGCCACGGACCAGTCTTGTCGAGTTCTAAGTTGATATTGTGATCTCTACTGATATGCTTTTGAATATTTTATTTGATGATACTTGTGTCATGTATATCTTTGATTTTACGCGTGACGTTTGCTTACTATATTTTAAATTACATTGGCATTGGCAATTTAAGTATACAAATAATGTGATTGTAAAAGTTGTTATATATTTAACATGCAATTGCCATAGATTACTCCCCTTCCCCTTCCTGCTTCGTATGTCTGTTATCATTTGAATATCGTACCCCAAGTTTGTTGACACAGCAAGGTAAACGGTACATGTATTTCCATAAAGGAATGTCCCCTTGAGGATCTATGTTTTCTTACCCATTGATAACGTTTCTGATCTTAATATGAGTAATTGATTGTAAAAAAAAATACTGAATAAAAAAATGAAAGAAAAAAATAAAATTAAAAAACAAGTTTTGGAAAGAAAGATTCATTTTATACATGCACCCACATTTTAATATCCAGTTGTCTATCCCAACATACGTCTACGGTCTACAATAGCTTGTTTTTGCTCAGAAGTTTTCCGGGAAGGGAAAGTTGGATTCATCCAAATATACAGGCCTGTGATGTAACAAATACTTCTTTTAGAAATTGGAATAAGTGATCTGGAACTGTTGTGTATTTGTCTTCTGTTCTGATCTGAAACTAAAATAATAACACGCTCAGTGGGCGAGAGTTTAGTTTGTTATACACTAATTGGCTTTAGTTTGCTGTGAACAAGGTTGTCATTTATTTTCTGGTTTTTTGAATATGCGACCATCATCTTTTGTTTATAGACTTATAGGAATTTCTCTCAGACTCTCAAATGGGCATGGGCTATCTAACTTGGTCTAATGCTAGTGGTTTTGATGAACATAAGAGTATTATTAAATTTGAATTGATTTGATACGCTTTGAGAAAGATTAAGGCTGTCATAAGATTGGCTGCTGTGTTGGTGCATAGCCCTTCGGATGAATATTCGATTCCAAAATTTGACGAACTAGAACTATGATGCATGATTTTGAATACCAGCAGTTACGAAAATGTGTGGATAAATTGATATACATGATTTTATTAGGGTTTTCTTTTGGAGCTTCGACTGCTTACGTTTACTCGATTAATGGTTATTTAAAAGGAATGCCAAATTGACAAACCAAGGCGTGCTAAATGTAACAAGGGGTGCATTGTACTACCTCAATATCGACATTCACAAAGTAATTTGTTATTCTTGCAAAATTTACCACAATAAGCAAGTTTTTATCTTAACGATTATCATAATAAAGTTTATCAATTAAATGTGAGATTACAGTGCAGTCTTGTATATTATCTTTTTGATTACATCAGTATGTTTTGACGTGAGAAACGTGCCGGTAGAGTTTAATTGCATACAATTATCTTTAGATATTGATAAAATGAAATGATTTATTACCAATTAAAGATAATTTCCCTAAGATATTATGCCAATTAATTAAGAGAGAGAATCATTCTAAAAATTCCCTTTGGCATGATTTTGTAAAACAATTTACAAAATTTTGAGTAGGTCGAATTCAGCAATTTCATTAGGTAACAGATAGGGGTGATAATTTTTCTCATGGACCTACGATTTTTAATACGTAATGATCATTCTCGCTGTATCAGACTATTCATTATAATCATTCTCTATATAGTAGACTATATATTATAATCATTCTCCGTTTATCGGACTATACATTATAATTATTCTCTGTTTATCAGACTATACATTATAATTATTCTCTGTTTATCAGACTATACATTATAATTATTCTCTGTTTATCAGACTATACATTATAATTATTCTCTGTTTATCAGACTATACATTATACTCATTCTTTGTATATTAGACTATACATTATAATCATTATCTGTTTATCAGACTATACATTATAATTCTCTGTTTATCAGACTATACATTATAATCATTCTCCGTTTATCAGACTATACATTATAATCATTCTCTGTTTATCAGATTATACATTATAATCATTCTCTGTTTATCAGACTATACATTATAATTATTCTCTGTTTATCAGACTATACATTATAATCATTCTCTGTTTATTGGATTATACATTATAATCATTCTCCGTTTATCAGACTATACATTGTAATCATTCTCTGTTTATCAGGTTATACATTATAATCGTACTCTATTTATCAGGTTATACATTAAAATCGTTCTCTATTTAACAGACTATACATTATAATCATTCTCTGTTTATCAGACTATACATTATAATCATTCTCTGTTTATCAAACTATACATTATAATCATTCTCCGTTTATCAGATTATACATTATAATCATTCTCTGTTTATCAGACTATACATTATAATCATTCTCTGTTTATCAGACTATACATTATAATCATTCTCTGTTTATCAGATTATACATTACAATCATTCTTTGTATATCAGACTATACATTATAATCATTCTCTGTTTATCAGACTATACATTATACTCATTCTTTGTATATTAGACTATACATTATAATCATTCTCTGTTTATCAGACTATACATTATAATTATTCTCTGTTTATCAGACTATACATTATAATTATTCTCTGTTTATCAGACTATACATTATAATTATTCTCTGTTTATCAGACTATACATTATACTCATTCTGTGTATATCAGATTATACATTATACTCATTCTTTGTATATCAGATTATACATTATACTCATTCTTTGTATATCATACTATACATTATAATCATTCTCTGTTTATCAGATTATACATTATAATCATTCTCTGTTTATCAGACTATACATTATAACCATTCTCTGTTTATCAGACTGTACATTATAATCATTCTCTGTTTATCAGACTATACATTATAATTATTCTCTGTTTATCAGACTATACATTATACTCATTCTTTGTATATCAGATTATACATTATACTCATTCTTTGTATATCAGATTATACATTATACTCATTCTTTGTATATCAGACTATACATTATAATCATTCTCTGTTTATCAGATTATACATTATAATCATTCTCTGTTTATCAGACTATACATTATAACCATTCTCTGTCTATCAGACTGTACATTATAATCATTCTCTGTTTATCAGACTATACATTATAATCATTCTCCGTTTATCAGATTATACATTATAATCATTCTTTGTATATCAGACTATACATTATAATCATTCTCTGTTTATCAGACTATACATTATAATCATTCTCTGTTTATCAGACTATACATTATAATCATTCTCTGTTTATCAGACTATATATTATAATCATTCTCTGTTTATCAGATTATACATTTTAATCATTCTTTGTATATCAGACTATACATTATAATCATTCTCTGTTTATCAGACTATACATTATACTCATTCTTTGTATATTAGACTATACATTATAATCATTCTCTGTTTATCAGACTATACATTATAATTATTCTCTGTTTATCAGACTATACATTATAATTATTATCTGTTTATCAGACTATACAATAATTATTCTCTGTTTATCAGACTATACATTAAACTCATTCTGTGTATATCAGATTATACATTATACTCATTCTTTGTATATCAGATTATACATTATACTCATTCTTTGTATATCAGACTATACATTATAATCATTCTCTGTTTATCAGATTATACATTATAATCATTCTCTGTTGATCAGACTATACATTATAATCATTCTCTGTTTATCAGAATATACATTATAATCATTCTCTGTTTAACAGATTATACATTATAATCATTCTGTGTATATCAGACTATACATTATAATTATTCTCTGTTTATCAGACTATACATTATAATCATTCTCTGTTTATTAGGCTATACATTATAGTTATTCTCTGTTTATCAAATTATATTTCGTGATCATTGTCTGTTTATCAAATTATATTTCATGATCATTGTCTGGATTGATTATGGTCATACTCTGTTTTTTAAACTATGCCTTATGATCATTCTCTGAAATCGAAAAAGATTAGGGCAATGACAAAATTACCTCATGGTACACTGCACGGCGTTGCCCGTCTTCATTAGCCCAATTAGGTGCAGAAAAGTAGGACGCAAAACTCCATTCATTTCATTTTTGTTTGTTTATCAACTTATTTATTATATTTCGGGGAAGGGAGGGTTTGATTCTCCCAAATGTACAGGCCTAGGGTGGAGCAGACACTTTATTTAGAAATTAGGATTAAGGGTCTTGATATTGGGTTTTCTTCTGTTCTTATTCTGATCTGAAATTAGAAAAAATAACTCGCCCGATGGGCGAGAAGTATAGTATCTGTTATGTACTGATTGTTTTTAGTTTACTATGAACAATATTATCATTTAAGTTCTTATTTTTTGAATATGCAACTATCATTTTCTGCTTATAGACATGGGGGAATTTCTCTTGAAGGCTCTTATACTGGGCATGAACTATCTTGCTTGCTCGATTGCTGGTTGTATTAAACGGGACAACAAAGGGTGCTATGCCTACATTATGATGAATATTTAGTCCTATAGGTCTTGCTGTATTCAATGTCTCAATCTAATGGGCCTCCCTAGATTGACTGAATTTGGTAGTTTCATCTTCGGGCAAGTCAATTTCTATACGCTCAATTGGGATTAGGGTGAGATCGTCTATTGAATGGT